ATGTGAAGAAAGAGGAATGACTGAACTAGCAAGGAGATGGGTACAAGTAGGGAAACCTAGCAGTGTTGTACCCCATATGGTCTACCCCACTACAGCCTACACAGACTATGTCATGTATGTTTGACCTAAAGTCCCTGTACGGCATTAAACAGGCCCCGAGACTGTGGCAACAGTACCTGCACGCTAGACTCATCCGCATCGGCTTTCGCCAGCTACCGCACGACCAGGGCATGTACCGACTCACAAAGGGCACCAACTACATCTTACTGATCGTCTATGTAGATGACCTACTCTACATTGGCTCGACCGACGGCGTCACTACCTGGTTCAAAGGGGAGCTGCAACAGGATCTTACTCTCACAGTGTCATCGACCGTCACGCAATACCTCGGCCTCAACATTCAGGAAGAAGAAAGCGCAATCTAACTCAGTGCCGCGAAATACGCCAACGCTATCGCCAAACGCTTCGGACTCACCCCGACCGCCATCTCCACGCCATACCGCTACACCACCGGAAGTCACAAGGAAGGCTCCGCTCCACTCAAGCCCGCAGGCATACGCGACTACCAGAGAAAGCTGGGATGCCTCCTCTTCGCAGCCGTTACCTGTCGTCCGGATCTATCATACTCTGCAAGTCAACTCGCCACCTACCTCAAGAAACCTGAAGCGGAACACATGGCGGAGCTCGACCGCGCTCTTCACTATCTTGTCAGCACCCCGACGATCGGCCTAACCTACCACAAGACCGGAACTACAACACCTAAGCTAATCGGCTACGCCGACGCTGATCACGCTGGCGACTCTGACAACAGGCGCTCGCGCAACGGCTACATCTACCGACTTGAGCCTATCAGGCCCATCTCTTGGCAGTCGAGCAAGCAGGAACTAATTGCTCTCTCCTCAGCTGAAGCAGAATACATTTCACTCTGTTCAACCACCAAGGAAGGACTGTACCTTCGCGAACTGCTGGAAGAAGCGAAGCTGGCCCAGTTACCCAGCTTCTCCCTGTTCTGCGACAACCAGTCTGCAATCCGCATAGCCAACAAGAACGGATTCGCGAACAGAACGAAACACATCGCCCTGCGATATTTCTTCATGAAGGACGAGATCGAGAAGGGGAGACTCGAGCTGTCCTACTGTCCCACGTCTGAGATGGCAGCTGATTACTTGACCAAGAAGCTCCGAAAACAGAAGTTCGAGTACTGCATGCTGCTGACTGGGAAAGGCCACGTCACCAGCAGCGACACTCCAGAAGTGAAGGGGAGTGTTGGAAACAAGTAATTTAAGCGCTTCTGTCGTGTGACGAAACACCAAGTCATAAACGAAGCGAAGCACAACGAAGCATCGGCGAGTCAACTATCGGAGGTTGACAAATGAAGTAACCGCTGGAGGTTACGCGAAGGTCAAAGGTCAGCGACCTTTGACTTGACAAATACAGCGCGACAGCAAGGACAAACAGCTGACTTGATACGGAGCAGTTGCCCGAGTCGTCACTATATCGAGCCGCAACAGCAACAGTAAAACAGTTATTAGTTGTATCTCTTCATATTCCTTGTACTCTTATAAAAGCCTTGTACCTCTTTGTTTTAATCAATCTACTTTGCCCTCACATACCAGCGCAAGGTGGTTCAACACTCTTATTAAACGCTTCCGCAACTACAACATTCCTACCCAGAGTTTAGTCCTGCAAAGATCCTAAGGGCTTTTCTCAGCCCAACAGGCGGAAGGGGGGGGGGGGAGTGTGGGATGATGCTTTCCTGGGACTCCATAATAGAGGGTATGTTATTACGCGTTTCGCCAATAAACACCTCTAGCCACATAAGCCCCCCGCGGGGGATTTTCAGCGGGCTTTGTAAACGGGGGATAACGGTAAGGCCGTGATGCATGCTGCGTGTTTGCTCAAAGTCCAAACATTGACCATTTTTCGCCGTTCAACTTGAAATCACCGTTATTAGCCATAAAATACCGTACAACACCCCTCACAGAGATTTGCCCCCGATGCAGCACACCCTTACACCCGTAGTGCATGCACCAATTAAACAAATGCGCCTGTTTTAGAAAGGATCACAGTAAGACACAATCACACTGTACCAGGACAGGACATTAGCACATTATAAAGAATAGAATTTATGGTAACTATAGCAGAAACTCTCTAAATGACATCTGCCAATCATCACACGAACTCTGATGACTGTATATACCGATAGTTAGGTATTACCTAGGTACACATATGGACTTGCTACCTACAATACCCGAGCAACTCTTGCCATTGTATTCTGCGAACTGGGCATCACTTGTGAATCTACCTGTAACAAGCACTCTTGAACATGAATCGTTGATGTTGACCTTCTTGCATTTGCCTTTTTTGCAAATGACGCTTGCTGTAAATGACCAATACTCTGCCCTTAAACAAATCTGGCACAAAAGGAGACGCGAATGTCAAAAGTGAACCATGACAATAATGCAGATTAGCAGAGAAAAAACATTGAAAAGCTTGACAGGGAATGGGCTGTTAGCAAATACAGTAGTGCCAAAACTGGTAATCCCCAAGTCCCAACAGGTTTGGCCCTATGAAGAACTCATGTACCAGGGATTACCATTGCCACCCGCATTGCACTCCCTCCTCTCCCTCCCTTCACATCCCCACTTCAGCTTCTCTACTCTGCCAACCAACCTTGTAGCCCCTTCCCCTAGCTCCCGTGTTTTGTCCAGAAACTAATCCGCACATTCCAATCCTTACCTGCACTTTCATGTTGCTAGGGATGGTGCTGGAGCAAGTGAGGCCGGGATTGTTGCGGTACAGGTCAGCCCAGTTCCTTCCAGTGACAGCCCCACCCGGCTCCTTGGCGGTTCTTCGAAGCAGCACCTCACACGTGTCGCTCGTTGTCAGTGTGTCGTATCTCAGACACTCGGGGACCGTGTAGGCGAAAGCAGAGCTGCGCTCGACGCACACTGACTGGCCCGCATTGAGGCCCGACAAAGAGTTGAGGCCGGGGTTGAGATTAACAAGGTCTTCGAAGCTCAAGCCGAGCTGGCTGGTGACGTATGAACAGGTGTCGCCCTGGGAAGTTGGACAATGGAGAGAGCACGTCTTGAGTGCGTGTGGTGCTGCCTACAATGGGATGTAAGTTGGCTAGGTGCAAGTGTCAAGTGTCAAGAAGTTGGTGTCATGACACCAACTCATTCTACGCACGCGAATACTCCAAAAATAACGCTAGACCAATAGCATTGACCGAGCATTATTTTTGGACCAATCGCGTGCTTAGAATGAGTTGGTGTCATGATACCAACTTCTTGTCACTTGGCTGGGATACGACCTAAGACCACTGTAAGGTGAAATGAAAACGGCACCACCCCGTCTCACGTTGAGGGCGTAGAAGAAAGCAGTGCAGGGGATGTTAGGAGCACCATCCAACTTAAGGACACTGCCTTTAACCAATGGCTGGTTGCAATCTATCTCCTGCATTGTGGAACACTTGCATGAAGAAGTGGCGTGAGTGCGAGCTTGTAGTCACATTCCCTTGCTCACCAATACAAAGCATAAGCGATGTTTGAGATTAAAAAAAAAAAGACGTGTGGCGCAATGAAGTATCATCAGAACCAGATCGGCGTGCCCAACAAAACCTTAGCCGTGTAGGTATTCACTCACAAACTTAATTCTTACCGTATTGGTGTTGCTGAATTGTTCCAATGGTATGCCAACAAGTGCATTTACATCCGAACACTGCCAGTTGTCTCCAGTAACAGTCATGCTGGTGGTTGTAGAATTCGCTGTAGAACGTGAATAGAGAGAGAAGAAGGCATGGAGGAAAGAAAATGAGAGGAGTAAGGTTGGGTTGGGGAGAAGAGGTCCCATTTCTAACGACTCAGACCAATGAAGCATTACCCGGATCACAGGTGGGGAAGCCGTAGACTGTGACTCTCTCAATGTAGTTGGGAGGGCAGATGCAGGAGTAGGAGCCCTTGAGATCGTTGATGCATGTGCCCACATAGCAGGGGTTTTTGAAGTACGACCCACACACGTCCACTGCCACAGTGGCATCAGGGTGATGTACATTCCATGGATTGGAGACAGCAGGTAAGATTGAGCAACGAGGGACATAGGGACAAGCAAGGCATAAGGATAGGACATGTGAGAAAAATACAAGGATACAGCAAGGGTTATCATGCCATGTAACATCACGAGCTCGGCCTGCAGGGCCCGCTCGGCCAACAGAGGGCACCAAGAGACCACGTACTTTGTACACAACAGCAATTTCTTACCATAAGCACAGGTTTTGGAGCCAATTCCGTTGTCAACCTCAACAAAAGGTTGAGGCGTAGCTTGAGGAATAAGGCAGCTGCATGTATGGCCTTGAGTAGTCTTCTGGCATGGGAACCGGCCACACGGGTTCATGTCGTACAAGTCCTGGTCGCCCTTGTAGCTATTGTTACCGCATGGGTCTCCTGGAACTGAAGGGTGAAGGAGAGAGTACAAGCTGAAAACATCAGCACGGAAGTTTGTTAACTGTAGGACAAAGCAACGTGTTAGTAAATTGGCAAGGCATGGCTTGGTACTAGGGAAAACAATTGCTAAGCACCACTTTTAGTCTTGTTGCCTTTCCAAACTTGCCAGCATCTTTAATGTGCAGTAGTTAGTGACAACACAATTAACTGCCAGTTTAAACTGGATAGAAAGTTACCTGGAAGACCACTTATGTCGACATTCTGAAATGCTGAAATCCAGGGTCAAATTGGGCTACCAATATACTTCCCTATTAAAAAACGTTTCTACAAGTCCATTGCTTGTCAACAGCTGCTTTCTGTGTCCACCCCCCTAGCTCTCTTAGAACCCGCACCCGCAACGGGTGTCACACAACGGGTTTCATGCCTTGCCTGCACCACCCCCCTGCAAGTAGGCGCAGTGGGGACTCACCTCCTCCACAAGAAGAACCAGAACCTGGCTGGGCCTAATCTCTAATTCCTCCGTCCTTGGGCATGCTGGGGTTGGCAGGCCCAAGGCTAGAAGGAGAGCACGGCTTCCCAGCCAGCTTCTTCATCCACGCCTACCGGGTCCTCGCGGCATTGCCCCCACCCAGCAGCCATTGTGCCAGAAGTTTTGCTGATGGAAGCTGCTAACGCTATCCCCACCTCCTGCACTCCACACATGGCTGGCTCAATGCCAATCTGGTCTGCATGAGGGTGACGGGAGTGCCAGGTCCCATCTGGCCAGGTCACAACTTAAGGAGTGCCAGGTCCCATCCGGCCTCACGCTCCAGCATGCTCTTGGCCAATGCCACTGCTATTCTGAGCAGGATACGGCGTGACGGTCGATGGACCTGAACCCCCCATATCGCCATGCACAACCAATACAGAGTGCAGAATTTGGCTTCAGGTGGTCTCCTTCTAGCAAAGGTGCCTCAAGGTGATAGCCCCCCACTGGTCGTATGTCCTGTTGAGTCCCTCTCATTCGAAGAATATGTAGCACCTCTGCGTAAGACATGCTACCGTCTACTACTCGAAACCCAGTATTTGTGGGGGTAGGCTGTCTGCTTTTCTATCACAACGAGCAACAAGGGGCACGAAACAGGGTGGAAATGATGGGAGGGGGTGGGAAAAGTTTGCTGCCTTGCCCTTGGGAGTGAGTCGCATGGCAAACTTCAACTATGGATTACAAACTGTGGATTCACAACAATGTTGTGCATTTCTCACTCTTAACAACGGGGTAGATGCCAGGCAGCACGTTGATGCCACACACGCCATCCCCTCCCTGAATGCCCATGCGCATGTGGCCTTTGTCTCCCCATTCCACCCCCCACGAGTTGCGGATGACCCAAAATGGAGGTGAGATGCGTCTCTGGCTGCCGTCGTCTCGATTGATGAAGTAGCCAACGACGAGCACCACATGGTTCAGATTGCCCGTGTAGCACGCAGGGTCCTGGTACTTGAACGTTTGAAACAAAAAGTGGGACGGGACATACATCCGTCATACAAATATGTGTGCAATGCTACAAGAGTGCACCACACTGCGCAAGTCCGCAAGGCACCACAACACATGATTGCTGCAGCGACTCACCCCATCATACTGGAAGAACGTGTCGGCCGAAGCCTCGATGTGAACCACCACTGGCTGGCGCCGCACTGCCAGCATGAGCCCGAAGTACCCCTTGAAGAGCGCCCGCTCAAATGCTGCCACCGGGTAGCTTGTTCCCTAGGAACACGAGAATGGGTTGGAATATGTATGAGTAGAGCAAATGAATGAAGAAAGGATATGAGGTCCGTGCCATATCCATGTCGCTCTATGCTAAATGGAAACCATGGAGCCAAGAGTAATTTACAGCAGGAGACAGCTCAATGCATTGCCAGCCTATCCACGACTCAGATATCCATCACAAGCAACGATTCCTTCACGGTCTCTGCCAAGGAAGGTGAGTCGTGAAAGTTTCCATGATTTCCCTAAAAAACGACTTGAGATTTGTTGAACTGAACTGATATACTAGAATTTTCCACTTGCTTTTCAATCCTACACACTAGTTTCTACTAAAGATCTGATAGTCAGGATACTTCTTAAGAGTGTCTCGCCGCAATCAAACCCGTTCCCAGCAGCATCTCACATCACCGCACCTCACATCACATACCATGGCCTCATTCTGTTTTCCCTACCAGGTCATTGACTCCTGTGAGCCCACTGCTGGCATCAAGAGTGACGAGCTTCTCAAAGGCTGAAGTGGGGGAGCCTCCAGCGGTGCACTTGTCTGCATCGGTGAGCCCCATGGCTGCAAAGAGTGACTCCACTGACAGCTGGGGAGCAGCTTGATTCAATGCGATGCCGTACGCAGCCTCCACACTCGCCACCACCGCATACGCCCAGCATGCACCTGAGAATAAGCAAGTAGATACGAGAACAGTTAATTGTGCTTACTGTTTGAGGGTGGAGTAACGCTGCAGATACATACGCTCAGCATACATCTGAGTAGACACAGGATCGGGGAATGAGGGTAGAAAATATTCCCAACTGGAGGACCTTGCTGTCCTAAAAACCTTTGCAGATGGTAAAAATATCTGCGGTGGCAAACAAGAACTTGCAACGTGACCCAAAGCTAAGTAATAGCCGTGCAACATGTGAACCTGAAGAAATGAGGACCTCCAATCTGGAAATGTCCACTGGCACACGTCACATGCGATCTCCATGCTCTTGTCACTCACTGCAAAGAAGCTGATCCTTGACAGGCCACTTGAGGAAGGCCATGGAGATCCAGGAGTGGAAGTCACGGATGGCCCACGAGTCCACGCTTGCATCGTTATCCGTCCATTGGTAGTCCGTGCTCACATAGCGCGAGAATGGGCTCGCTCCAGGTGGTGCAAACGTGCTTTCTGATACTGCGAGTCCACGTTCTGTGAGGGGAGGGACGGGGTGGACAAGGAGATATGCGTAGGCTAGACAATATGGGTGATGGGTAGAGGCACACCTGGTGGGCGTGTGAAGCACAGATCCACCTTGGAGCTTGCATTGAATGCAAGGCAGGATACTACACCAGAGTTTGCGAATTTCCCCAACGAAAAAGACGGAGAAGATTCATGTGTTATCATGCATTCAGCATAAGCATAAGCAGTCGATCAAATCAGGGCCATTCTTTTGGCCTTCCGGTTCGAGTCGAACTGGACTGGGTCCTCTGGAATTGTGATTGCCTCGCCTCTGGCTGACTTCGGTTGGGGAACACAAGTATGCGGAGTGGTTTCATGCTTCTAAGCTGAAGTTTTACTCAAACAAGGCATAAAAATACTTGTCAGAATGACAGACTATAAGCATTCTGGAAAAAAAAATATATATATATGGAGCCAACTTTGTGGGTCTGATTTTCAAGCTCCAGCTTTCCACCTGCATTTTTGCTCCATGTTTGATGAACTATAACTTGTTCACACTCAGCTACACCAAATGAATATGTATAAATACATATATATATATATATTAAGTGGGGGAGAGGAGGAGGAGGGGCTGGGCCAGACTAGACTTGAACCGAGCAGACTCGAACCACAGTTCGAGTTGAACTGCATTCGGCCACAATTGGGCACGTACCTCTCGGGTCCTCCAAAGGTCAGATTAGAACCGGTTCAGGTTTGGCTCGACTACCAGGCCGGGCTGACTCGGTTTGTGTCAAACTGGTTCAGGTTTGTCCCATGCTCATGCCTAATTTGGCATGTGCATAATCAAACGAATCTGTGTTGTAAAATCCTCTTTCACCCTTGGGTTTCCCAGCTGTTAGATGGTCTAACTTGGACGTTACTACTGCTGATCAACCAACTTGCTGGTGGTTGTCACATGGCAGAGACAGCTCACCTCGAGTGGTTCCAACTCGCTTGCGTGGAGGAAACATTCCTGTGAGAAGATAAGAGACCAACAAAGTCAACCAACCACATGAGAACCAAGATGAGAGATGAGATTCAAGGCAGTTAAGTTTGTCAATCAATTACCATGGTAAACAATGATTTTCAATGCCACCTACCATCACCGCAATGCCATTATCACCATCACCTGTTCATCATCATCATCATCTCATCACCACCACCACCACCACCACCACCACCACCACCACCACCACCACCACCACCACCACCACCACCATCATCATCATCATCATCATCATCATCATCATCATCATCATCATCATCATCATCATCTTCATCATCAACATCATCATCATCATCAAGACTGACTGACACTGCCATCACCAACACCCCACTCACCCAAATGACTTGCCTGTTCGCATGGCGGATTTGGCAATGGCGTGCATCTGAAAGGGCCTCTTAGTGGTGGATGCCACGAAGCCGAAGAAGAACGTCGACTTCTTCCCACCAGGCTGCAGCACCGTGCACAGCGACAGCTCCCTCTGCAGCAGCGGCGTATCTGGCTTCACCCTGGAATTGGCCAGAAACACTTGAACCGTCCCAGAATTCCAAGGGTCATAGTCCACCCATGCTGTGTAAAATTCACCGTCGTTCAGAGTGAATGGTGACTCCACTGTGACCAAAGAATTATCCGAGCCATTTATGTTGAGCCCTATATGCTGCTCCGTCGGATCATTGTGGTTGGCATTCTGAAGTGTGCCAAATTTAACGGCTACACTCCTCCTGTCCATTCCACCATACCCTACACCTTTAGATTTTCCCACCTTGCCCTTCGCCGCGATCACAAATGCAAACCCGTTGAACCCGCCAATACCATTCTGGGGAACGACGCAGAATGTGAAGTTAACACTGAAAGCCAGCTCCGCGCCACATCCCGTGGTGAAAGGCTTTGGGTACGCGAAAAGGCTTACTGGCTTTGCCATAAACTTCCCCACTGTCTGTCGTTGCGTTCCCTTGGAGAGAATGGTGAACAAAGGAAAAATAGGCGTATTTATAAACAGGCCACGATCCCAACCTGAAAGGATTCAACGGATGAGAGAAGGGAACAAAGAAGGATGGGATTGGTGGAGAAATGGATCTCTGTCAATCTGGAAAAAGAAGGCTGCTTCAGGGTGATGAGCACAGATTAGCAAGACACGCATACACCGGTGTAAACAAAAAGGGTCTGTGCAGTGCAGCATAGGTTGCAGAAACCTTGTACAGCAGCTGAATGCCTACTAGGTGTCGCCTAGGTCTGAAAACATCAATGGCGCATCAGATCTTGGCAGGGGAGTGTGAGTGAGATGACTGTTTAGCTGAAACCCTTCTTGTGCTCACCTGGCTAAACAATCCGAAGGCATACACAAAGTAAAGAACGCGGTACTAACATGCAGTAGGCCAAGGCAAATAAGAAATGTGATGTAGCAGGAAAAAAAAAAATACGAAATTGATAATTCCTATGTTTCACAAGGATCAATAATACAACACTTACCTTGTGCAAGACAGTTGACCGTTCTGAACTGCACGTATCCCGGTTCACACAAGCACGTTGGCACCAAGCTGGGTCCGTCTGGATAGCAGATGCCATGGCCATCACATGCATTCCAGCCACCACAGAATGCCGTGCACTCTGCTGTGGGCCGCTGCAGTGTGAGGGAGCAGTTGGGCAGCGTGGGGAGACAGTTAATCCGTGTGAAACAGTTGGAAGCAAGACGGCCGTTAGTGGAGGCTGAAAGATCCAGAGGACCTGTCAAGTAGTTGCTTGAAAGGTTTATTTTGGTCCATGGACCCGAAATGGGGCCTGAGAGGTAGTTGTGAGAGGCATCACTACACGTGAGGAGCAAGGTGAGGGAGGTGCAGGTGGTGGGGTAGGGTAGCAAACATACACAAGCAGGGAATATTACTGAGGCCAAGAACAAATATCATAAACAGAAGAATGACAGAAGGAGGAGGAGGAAGAGGAGGAGGAGGAGGAGGAGGAGGAAGAGGAGGAGGAGGAGGAGGAGGAGGAGGAGGAGGATGAGGAGGAGGAGGAGGAGGAGGAGGAGGAGGAGGAGGAGGAGGAGGAGGAAGAGGAGGAGGAGGAGGAGGAGGAGGAGGAGGAGGAAGAGGCAGAGGAGGAGGCAGAGGAGGAGGAGGAGGAGGAGGAGGAGGAGGAGGAGGAGGAGGAGGGGGAGGAGGAGGAGGAGGAGGAGGAGGAGGGAGGAGGAAGGAGGAGGGAGGAGGAGGAGGAGGAGGAGGAGGAGGAGGAGGAGGAGGAGGAGGAGGCATAGGAGGAGGCAGATGAGGAGGAGGAGGAGGAGGAGGAGGAGGAGGAGGAGGATGAGGAGGAGGAGGAGGAGGAGGAGGGAGGAGGAAGGAGGAGGGAGGAGGAGGAGGAGGAGGAGGAGGAGGAGGAGGAGGAGGAGGAGGAGGCCTACCTTTTTAGGTTTCCCATGATTCTTTTTTTGGTTCCAAATTGACACGCAAAACCATCTCAACCCACTTCACCCCTTAGCATCTGGATAACGACCACGTCCTACAAGCCCAAGCCATAACCTCTTTACTCAGTTGAGTCTTTCTTTTTTACTTGGCTCGACTCAAAAAGAATGAGCTCAAAATTCGACAATGACTAGTTACAGAACCCGCTGAGTAGCTTGACTCGTTTGCTCATGTATACCGCTCCCTCCCTCACCACTTGTCAAGTTCTGAGACGCAAGGAGTACCACACAAGGATGGAAGAGAAAGCATATAGAAGGAGAACCAAGCAGGGGCCTCACAGATATTGCAGTTTGGACAAGCGAGTGCCAATGTCAGACGGAATGGAGTCAGTAAATTGATTGTTGTTGATAACCCTGTGGAGAACATGATGAGTAGGAGGCCTGAGAATGCAGCATGCACAAAACTCTTGATAGACTTGAGCATGGTACCGAACAGGACCAGTTCGGTTCGTCAGGGCTCATTCCCTATCGGGAATGTGGGAAACACCCCAATGTTAGGTGGAAGTGGGCATAGTAGACTATGAGAGAGCTCGACATGAGCTCCAACTCTCTGGATTATAGCCTTACATTTAAAATGTTTTTTTTTCGGCGCGGCCCGGCAATTGTTACTATCAAATCGCTGAAGAGGCCGCCCAAAAACAACCGATTCAGTTTAGATGACAGCGAACCGAACCACACAGAACCGAAATGTGGTCACTTTTTATGCTCATGCCTTGATATCTATGGCATCAGCATGTCTGTCATATCCAGGATAAATAATTATGTGCAGGTTATTCGCTTTCTACATCACCCTGGTACAGAATGTGGATTCTCATCTTTTCATTCTCCAAACAAGAGACACAAGTGAGAGGAGAAATAGGCAAGGGGCACTACAGGATCTGCACTTCAGTAAGGACTAAAACGAAAGAAATGTTTCCAGAGAACTTGTTGCTGGCTAAAGAACTGCAGTTACGAAGGAGAAGAGCAAAAAAAGGTCACTGCAGATGAAGAGAAGGAACCAAGAACATATGGCAACAGAAAAGCGACACACTGAGCAAAGCGAGAGAGGTAGAGTGGGTAGAGCGTTCAAGACTTTGACCAAGGATCAGTCAAATAAGCTGGGCGAATTGCAGGTACGATGGATGCGAGGTTCTGGATTGAGAGAAAAGTAGATGGAAGAAGAGGGAGCTGAGAGATAGGGACAAGAAAGGGGAAGAGCGATGGGAAAGGAGGTGGAAAAGCACGAATGTCGAAAATCAGATGATCATTTTTTTTCCATTGGTATTCTATGCTATCTTCTGGGGAAAAAATGTGCTCTTGTAGGACCAAAAAAACAAGAGCGCTCAAACTACAAAGATGCCGTTGCAAGCAAGAGAACACTCTGTTAACACAGAATTAAATTTCTGTATTTCAATCAGCCGGTTTTCCTGGGGGAGTGAACAACACTATTCCACGCGGCAGCTGAAGTGATGAAGCAAGTCTCCTACAACCGAGGGTTCAAACGCTTAGTTTTACTTCGACCAATCAGAGCAGTCGATTCTGCTAAAAAACGACAGTTCGGAGTTCAAAATCCGATTCGGCCAATGACAACGGCGAAATCTGCTCACGCGGCGAGTTGATGATTGTTCGGAACAATGCTGTTCGGAACACTGCTGTTCAGAACACAACTGTTCGGAACTCTGCTGTTCAGAACGCTACTGTTCGGAACACTGCTGTTCGGAACACAACTGTTCGGAACTCTGCTATTCAGAACGCTACGGTTCGGGACACTGCTGTTCGGAACAATGCTGTTCAGAATGCGACTGTTCGAGCGAGATGATTGGGCACCGCTCGAGCAGCTTGTTCGCGTACACTGATTTGCTGACACGGCAGCTGCACAAAACACAAAGCACGAGCACACCTGCTTGTGCGTTTTGAGCGAGACGTTTTCTGCCAACTCAGCTCGCTGGTGGAGTTTCGAGCTTGACCCTTTTGAACACCGTTTGAACGGACCGATCCGAGCCGTTACTAATATGGCGCGAAGTTTCCCTCCCGAATCGTGGTCGTCAAAATAAGTCTTGGCGCGAGCATTTTTCGAAATGCCTCGCTGGCGAATCGCCAACCCGCTAAGTTACAAAATATTTTTAGCGAAATGCGAAATGCTCGCACTGCGTTAACAATAGGAATTGTCTAGAGGTGTTAGATAGTTAGCACTAGCAATAGCCTAGAGATTATATAAAATATATGCTCTTGTTTATGAAAAACACTCTGCCTATCAAGCATTCTCCCACGCGACTATCAAGTTTATACTCTAACTATCAAGGATTCTCTGACTACGCCGCAACATAGGACTTCCGCTGCTGCAGTTCTACGCTACTGAGATTCTTTTTCGACAAACTCGGACCCTTGAATAGGGGCTGACTTCGGTCAGGCACCCAAGGACCCTTGGAGGTGACCCCGAGAAGAGTTGTTTCAGCTATCGTGGTACTATCAGCAGTAGGAACTAGGTGATTTGATAGTAATACACTTCACTGAATCTCCTGGTGCGTTAACAGCACTTCTAACATCCCCCTCGTTCTACTCACAAAAATTCACCAGCAGTTTCAAAAATTTCACTGAAAAAAACGACGCTATTTTTCGACCCAAATGATTTGTTTTATGGTCGTATTTTATGGTTGTTTTCTACGGCCAATTTTACGATACCGTATTTCACGGACAAATCTTGAGAAAGAAAGAAAAAAGAAAAGAAAAAAAAAAGGACGTTCTTTTGCACCTTGAGGGAAAGTGATAAAAATAGACAAGGTACACTCAAGACTCATTGCTGCAAGAACCAACTGATGGTTCTGACTTATCTCAACAAGGGTTGCCGTCCATTTTCGCATCAGTTCTTCGTTGTTTTACATTCAGGTGTGGAGCAGCAGAGAAATCAATGCACAAGCCCTTTCCTTGCCACGTTTGCAGCCTGCCGGAATTCGTGCCCAGCTTGAAATCCAACCCACAAAAGTTTTTCATGCCACAGTTGGGGTTCGGGGTTCTTACCTCTTTTCTGTCAGTTGCTTTGGGTTTATCAGATTTTTTTATTGCTTACTACGACTCAGTTCACATGGACACTAATAACATGAAGAGGAGAACACTGAACGATAGGGGAGGCATCACTATAAGGTAGGCATGAGCAGAAGAGCCAATGGCTCGATAAAAGCCGCAGAATCTCAGCTCATCAGGCTCGAGCCAAGCTGGCTCGTTGAGCTGGTCACCAGCTCGTGGGCTTGGCACCAACAAGGGGGAGCACCAACCCCTGGGACCAAAATGATGGTGAAGGTGAGCAATAGACGGATTACTAGTCCATCAACTTAAACTCACAATTGTTAGCCATTTCTGGCAAGTTTTGCTAACAAGAACAATGGTCTCCTTACTGACAAAAGTTGCGTAAGAAAATGCGGTCATCTATTTTGTAAGACCGAACACGAACGACCACCAAGAGCGGACCGTTACAAAAACCATGCTTCTGTACCTTACTCTTGTCCTATCTGAGTGATTGCAACCGCCAAGACAGCTAGGCTTGAGCACCATGGCAAACAAGGTTTTTTTTTTTGCCCTTTGTGTTTGGGTCGAACACGTTTTTGTTTGTGTCGCTGCAGGCCGAGGCCGCGGTGCAACGAACATGTTCGCGTTCGTCTCTGAAGTCGATGAACACATGTGATGAACACAAATGTGTTCGTCGCGAAAGTCCCGCGACCACCTTTTTAGGTTGACGGGACATTCAGTTTGAACTCATTTTTTAGCAGGACCAACAGGGCCACAAATCAACACTTTTCTCAACACAAATTTCCCTCAGCGTAATTTACCTCTTTCTCAGCCTAGACTAAGGATGGTGCTAGGTTGTGCAGTTAAGGGTAGAATTGAGCAGGAACCCATCACCAGGAACCTCGTTTTAGGGAAACCTACATGAAATCCTAGGCGACTCCATCATTTACGGCAACAAGCTTTATTCACGCCCCTAGACGGCAGAAAATCGCAATTCGTGTTTAGCTTAAGGTGGGCTAGGGTTTAGGCTTGTTGGCTCATGGCTTCGCAACCACCAGCAGTAGGTGGAGTGGTAGGTGGTCGCGGCGGTGCACTGCGCCCTCAACTCCAGCACAACCTCTGCAGGGTGGTGTAGGGGGCGGGCCCGCGACACCCGCGGCTTGTTTCGTTGGGGTTTTTAATCCATGCCAGCGGGGCGCACGACTACTACCACTGTTGACAATGATAGCAGGGAGGAGGACGAGGAGCTAAGTTGCGGAAGACGCGTCTAGCGTCTTAGACGCTGGCGTCTAGACGCTGGGTTGGACTAGGCATGGGCATCTGGCCCGACCCGGCCCGACCCGTCCCGTCTAGGGTGACCCGTTACAGTAACGGGTCGGGTCGGGTCGGGATTGCGGGTCGAGTTTGACTCTGTTTTGGTGACCCGACCCACCCCGTTGGAACGGGTATTTGTGACCCGTACCCGGGTCGGTTATAGCACGGGTCGGGTCGGGTCGGGTCAAAATATGCTACAGAGTATGTAGGGTATGGGGAATAGGTTAGAATTGCTACATTGTCATTTGGATGCGATCGCATGCGCAATGTTGCTGCACTAATGCGGGGACGCGATCACGCTAATGCGGCGCCGCGATCACGCTGCTGTGCCCCTGGTCGCGCGACGAGGCAAAATGTCGGGCGCGCCTATGCCTAACCTGAATATACAGTTCAAATTAGTGCTAACATTGAAGTGAAGACTGTAGGAGGCTTGGTAGGTGTAGTGCAGAGTAACTAGCTTGATCTAGTCTAGAGACTGGACTAGATCTGGATGTCAA